AAGCAGAAACCCATACAGAAACCTAAATATCAGGGCACCGCGGCTGCTATGAGAAACAAAGAATTTTTGTTAATCCGATATTTGAACTGCCTAAGGTTAGTAGAACTGGTAAAGGCCTCCTCAGGTGTATTGCTTCGCAATTTCGATACGAAATTCGACACATCGCGCGGCGGCATCAGGGAGGAGAACACCGAGGGGCAAAGCCCGTTGATATAGCGATAAAAGAGAGCTAAATCGCTAAAGGCCGGTCAGTGCGGAAGGTTCCCGACACTGTCTGCTGTAGAAGAGCCATCGATTAGTAGATGTAGAGGAAAATACTTCCTAGCACAAAATAAATATCTCAGCTCTATCCCAGCAGCCGCCATTGGACAGGTGTGTTCATACTAGATCACGTCCTCGGTGACTTAGACTCCGACCAGCCGAAATGAGCGGCTCCTTGGTAGAAGTCGGCCATCCACCGAAGCTGTATGAGCCCTAGGGCGCTTCTTGATAGTCAAGATGCAGTGTTTTTGAAGAACCAAAGTGTACCTGGCTGTTGCGTCCCCAAGCAGAGATAACACAAAGGTCTCTTGTTAGAGAAGCAGTTGCAGCTAGTCCTCTTTTCTCCAGATCACCGGTAGACATGAGCTTGTCATTCTGAATTCCTGCTAGAGTGCTGTCATCATACTTCTATAATAAATATATATATATATATATATATATATATAATTGCCTGCGTACGTCGGGAGGTACCGTTTGCTTTTGGGAAATTTTTCGTGTTGCGATCTCCGGCAGTCAAATGTGCGAAGTACTCGCGTGGTGGTTCGTTTTGTTTTTTGTGCATTAAAGATCGGCGAAAAAAGAAAGGCAATGGCCAGGAGGAGAAAGGATCCCGTGTGGAAACATTTTAAGGTGACTGATGCCAAAGCTGACTGGAAAATAAATAAAAAAGCAAAATGTGCCACTGGTGTCTAGTAAGCGCAGGCATATTAAAAATTGTAAACAACTTAAACAAGGAAGTTTGTTAGGAAAACAGAATATTCATATATCAGATAGTTCTGATACCGACAATGATGATCTTTCTACCGAACCCATTTCCACAAGGTTAAATAGCTTGGAGAATTGTGAAAAAGTATTTTTTTTTTACTTGGAGTTCCGGAAAAAGTAGTGAAAATAAAAAAATTATTCTATGTACATTCTCCATGATTTTATATTTTAAAAATGTATATTTAAAGATTTTTTGATTTTTTGTTAAATAAGATGGGTTGTACAATTTTATAGAAATTTGTAAAGTAACTTATTTAATGTTATTATACGAGGGATGTCTTTTAAGTTTTGAATATAGAAACATAAAATAGGCCGCGCGGATCGAACGTCAGTACTGAATCTTAACTTCACTCTTCAGTAAACTTAAATTCAAAGTTTCACAACAATACGTGCAGTGTTCTCACTACAGTGAATTTTTAAGTGTCACCAAATCATTAGGAAAATGGAACTCAACTGAGAACATTTTTGAGCCATAATTTATTACAAGATTCAGAGACAATTATCGCGACAAGAATGCCTTACTGAGTTACTGTCTGTTTTCGGCAACGAAGCGCGACATCAGTCGACAATTTCCCATTGGTCTGGAGAATTCAAACGTGGACTGGTGAGTCTTAGGGGCGATCCCAGGGTGGGTGCACCAAAAACGGCAGTCACCCAGGAAAACGTCGATGCTGTGCGCAAACTCATCATTGAAGATAGACATGTGACATATCGCGAGATTGAGGCGTCCTTGAAGATCTCAAAGACCTCAATTCAAAAAAATGTTACATGAGGAATTAGGAGTAAGAAAATTAGTTTCTCGTTGGATACCCCAGCTGTTGACTGAAGTGCAGAAAGCAGCCAGGGTTAATTGGTGTCAAAAAACGCTCGACAGTTTCAATTCCGGAAACTCAAAAAATGTGTACAGCATTGTTAGTGGTGACGAATCGTGGATTTACTGTTATGAACCAGAAAATAAACGACAGTCAGCTGTTTGGGTGTTCACTGGTGAAGAAATTCCAACAAAAGTCATCCGTTCTCGAAGTGTTTCGAAAAAGATGGTCGCGACATTTGTGTCAAAAGGTGGTCATATTGCAACAATTCCTCTTAATGAGCAAAGAACTGCTACTGCGCATTGGTATACCACCATTTGTTTGCCAAAAGTCACCACCGAGCTTCGAAACCCCAACCCCGAAAGAAGAATCATCCTCCACCAAGGCAATGCAAGCTCGCACACAGCCCAAAAAACAAGGCGGTATTTAACGGAAGAAACCGTGGAATTATTGGACCATCCCCCATATAGTCCCGATTTAAGTCCTAACGATTTCTTTACTTTCCCGCAAATTAAAAACAGACTGCGTGGTCAAAGGTTCCAGTCACCAGAAGAAGCAGTTGACGCATTCAAAAATGTCGTTTTGGATCTGCCAGCAAACGAGTGGAATAAGTGCTTCGAAAATTGGTTCGAGTGCATGCAGATGTGTATTAATCTTCGTGGAGAATACTTCGAAAAACAATAAAATCATTTAAAATTACCTACCGTGTTGTTTTATTTCCATATGCAAAACTTAAAAGTCACATCCCTCGTACAAGAAAATTCATAGTCATATTATATGATTATTCTGCTGCTTGTAGTGTACTAGTATTAGAGTTCAATGCAGTTTCTTAAGTTCACTCGTTCGTTAAGAAACAGTTTTTTTCCTAGTATTAGTTCCCTAGTTTTATGTTTGATTAAATAATAATAAACAAAGCATATTTTTTAGTACCTATGTGTTTTAACCTATAGCCTTTTAAGTTTCGTTTTGCCAAATAAAATCAATTTCATCAATCATACTTAAAGAAAACCATAGATAATTCACAAACGACAAAAAACAGTGTTTAAAACAAATTGGTTTAAAACATCTTCATTGTTTCAAACAGTGTTTAGAAGACTCCTTTTAAACATTCTGATTAAAACATAACAACCCTGATATAAAGTATTGTTATTTTCTAAACGTTGGAACGGATTTATTATTATAAATCCGAAAGGCTTTCGCGGTCGTCATTTGGTTGGTTTCTGGGCTGTTAGGCAGTCGTAAAACATTTTTACTTGACGTTTCGCCAACACGAGTGGTTGGCATCTTCAGAAGATGTTCACAATTTGGAAATGGTTTACGACTGTCTAACAAACCAAAAACCAACCAAATGACGTTGATATGCAGCTAGCCAAAGAGCTCTTTCATTTCAACCTCCTATCTTCGTCTTGGGTGTTGGCCTGTTCGTACCTGGGGCGACAAACCTCTGCACTGAATAGCTGCATTATGGATGTCGGTTGCCTTATTACATACTCCGCTACCGTATTTAATTTACGTTAATAATTAGAGATCTTCAGCGACCGATATAAATACTCGGATCTATTAGCGCCATTTATTTTACCTCAAGCGTCTAAATCATCGTAAGTGCTTATAATTGGCTGCTGGAATTGCGCGCGAAGAAAGTGTGCCTTGAAGGCGACGGAAGCCTTGCTTTTGTTCTATTGTTTTCCGGATACTGGTAGTTGAATGCTATTTTAGTGTGGGCATGCCAGTCGCTTCAATGAGGCGCGGAAAAAACTTCTTTCAGTGCCCAAGGCTTTGCCCCCAGACAGGCAATGCGTTCAACTGTATACTGGGGTGGTATTAGGCTTAAGCCTCGGAATGCGAGTCTGCTGAACGGATTTTTGAGATTGCTATTAGAACGCGCTTAGAATAGTGTATATTAGAAGTTTCTTATTATTTTAGAATTTCTTTTTCTAGATACACGATTATTCAGGCAGTATGATCGCATCTGACGGGAAAATATTCTAATTCGGATATGTTTGCATAACCTTCTTTGAAAAGGAGTCCTTTTAACGAATCAGCAGGTTACCAGGCCCAAATTTGCGTTAAAGATGGTTTTGACAGTTTTTTAAATAACATTCCAAAAATATCTTATTTCGCACCACAATTTTATTTTTTTATAGTTTTTCTCTGTTCTTATGGACGTGTTTGTTCAGTAAGTCCTATAACACCTAAAAACACTTTGTCCAGAGGGGAAAAACAATTTTTGGCATTTCTTTAAGATATCTTTCTGACAAATTTGGGTCTGGAAACATGCTGAGGTCGTTTTAGAATAAGCTTTGCAAAAAATCAGAATCAGAATGTTTTCGGGATCCGAATATATTACCTGGACTAAATATACCGGATGGTAAATCTCATCAAACTGAACAAAGAAGCTCATCTAAACCTGTGTAGAAGCCATAAATTCTTTGCTGAAGAACAGTTAATTTCTTCTTCATTTTTAAGTTTTATTGAATGTCTGAGAATTGACATTAGACATTCGCCGACTTGATCTGTATTGATTATAAACAACTGGATTAGCCCAGTGCCGGTACTATCACATTCCGAATTTCAACTCAGCACGCCACTGGTTGGACTATGAGGCGAAAAAAGATTAACCTAAACTCATAGAAACAATATGCCAGATCGCTCTAAACAAAATTCAAAATCAAAGTTTCCAAAAACTTAATAGGTAATTTGATCTGATGGAAAAAATATTTTGTTGAACAATTTTTTAAACATAGGTACTCCAAATAACGTATGTCATAAAAGTTTTGGCACAGGATTCATTGGCTTTAGTTTTAACAAACACAAAATAATATCAAGTTGCCTTTGGAAACAAAAGTTTGATTACTTACTTTACTGCCAGTTGACATTTATATATTTTGAACTTTTCGCTTTAAGATATCGTATAAATTAGATATAAAAAATGTATCTACAAGTTGGTTCGGCGGGTACCCAAAGCTGAAATCTGTCGAATAGCAGGGATGTCTTTTAAGTTTTGCATATGAAAATAAAACAACACGGTAGATAGTTTTAAACGACTTTATTGTTTTTCGAAGTATTCTCCACGAAGATTAATACACATCTGCATGCGCTCGAACCAATTTTCGAAGCACTTATTCGACTCGTTTGCTGGCAGATCCAAAACGGCATTTTTGAATGCGTCAACTGCTTCTTGTGGTGACTGGAACCTTTGACCACGCAGTCTGTTTTTAATTTTCGGAAAAGTAAAGAAATCGTTAGGACTTAGATCGGGACTACATGGAGGATGGTCCAATAACTCCACGTTTTCTTCCGTTCAACACTGCCTTGCTTTTTGGGCTGTGTGCGAGCTTGCATTGTCTTGGTGGAGGATGATTCTTCTTTCGGGGTCGATTTTTCGAAGCTCGGTGGTGACTCTTGGCAAACAAATGGTGGTATACCAATCCGAAGTAGCAGTTCTTTGCTCATTAACAGGAATTGCGCAATATGACCCGCTTTTGACTCAAATGTCGCGACCATCTTTTTCGAAACACTTCGAGAACGAACGACTTTTGTTGGCTTTTCTTCACCTTGGAACACCCAAGCAGCCGATTGTCGTTCATTTTCTGGTTCATAACATTTTTTGAATTTCCGGCCGGTCAAGCGTTTTTTGACACCAATTAACCCTTTCTGCTCGTCAGCAACAGGTGGGGTATCCAACGGGAAACTAATTTTCTGACTCCTAATTCTTCATGTAATATTTTTTGAATTGAGGTCTTTGAGATCTTCAAGGACGCCTCAATCTCGCGATATATCACATGTCTATCTTAAATGATGAGTTTGCGCACAGCATCGACGTTTTCCTGGGTGACTGCCGTTTTTGGTGCACCCACCCTGGGATCGTCGCTAAGACTCACCCGTCCACGTTTGAATTCTCCATACCAATGGAAAATTGTCGTCTGATGTGGCGCTTCGTTGCCGAAAACAGACGGTAACACAGCAAGGCATTCTTGTTTCGATAATTGCCTCTGAAAGTTGTAATAAATTATGGCGCGAAAATGTTCTCGGTTGAGTTCCATTTTTCTAATGACTTGGTGACACTTAAAAATTCACTGCAGTGAGAACATTGTTGTGAAACTTTGAATTTAAGTTTACTAAAGAGTGAGGTTAAGATTCAGTACTAACTTTCGATCCGCACGGCCTACTATGTTTCTATATGCAAAACTTAAAAGACGTCCCTCGTATTCCAGAACGAAAACATCTCACGCATAACCATTTATCGAAGAATAGCGCAGTGCGAGCAAGGAATACCATGTCTGAGTCTCCAAAAAAGTGGAAGACCACGTGCATTTACTGCACATAGGTCAGAGAGATTGGTGAGAAGATCAAAAAATCAGGTTGCAATGTTAGCAATGAAACTGGCTCGTCAATGCAGATCTTCTAAGAGTCCCATATCGTTGGAATTCAGGAGGAATGGTCTTGAATTTCGAAAGAGACTTGAGTGCCACAAATACTCTCAAGCGCAACTCCTTCGAATACCAAGATGCTGTCGTCAACTGATTCGGATAAGCTTTGCCAATGAAAAAAAAAACATTATTTTATATGATGAAAAGTATTTCACTTTGACCAATTCTGGAATGAAGAGAAACGACGGATTTTATACGGAAAACGTAGAGGAATGTACTGACTATGTTAGGTACAAACAAAAAACGAAATTTGCAGATAAAGCCCTTGTCTGGTGTGCAATTTCTAACAGGGGTCTAACCCAACCTTTTGCTTTTTTAGGAAGAGTGAGGGGTGAGGCTTTGAATGGTCAGAGCTATGTGATAACTGCCTTTCCAAACTGCTTCAGCTTGACTCGAAGATAATGTTTTGGCCAGAACTAGCATCATGCCATTATTCAAGAGATTCCCAAAAATGGATTTCTTGTTCCGAAAAACGATAATCCTTCGAACTTGCCGCAGGCTCGCCGAATAGAGGATTTTTGGGCTTTACTGTCTAGGAAGTTTATCGTGGAGACTGGGACGCCCAAGATAAAGAACAATTCAGACGGCGAAAAACTGGGAGACATTGATCTGAATTCCGTCCAGGACCTCATGAGAGACAGTCGAAGAAAGTTTTTTCTAGTAGAGCAGAATGGGCCACTCCACGTAATTCGATTGTATAGTTTAGTTAAGAATTAGGTTGTAATTTATAATAACTAACTAGTTGAATAAATTTCTTCATTAAGAAGAAAATCCGATAAATATTTTGTGGCAAGACTTTAAGGACATGCGTTATTGTTTTTTCTTGCTCCGGTCAAAGTGCCTCAGATTTTTCAGGACATTCTGAACAATAAATATGCTTCGGAACTTTGCTCTAAAGTTGATAGTTTCGGCTATCGAAAAACGACAATCGGGCCATAGCGGCACATAACCACACATTAGCTTCATTATTCCAAGGGTAGTTGTATCTAAAAGTTCGAATACAAGTAGTAGTAGTATGGTAAGATTATACTGTATGATGTATTCTTATTAGAAACTTGTTAGGTATTGTAAGTAATATGATTAACGGAAATGCTGCGCTAGGCAGAGGAATGACCGAAGTAGCTTGCAGTACTATCAATATACGGTTTTAGAGAGAATAAAGTTATTCATCCTGAAATCAAGTTGTGTTACTAAGGGCGCAAAAGCCCGAAATAGATAAATCTATCACATGGCGACCCTGCCAGGATGGCCTTTAGCAGAAACTGTGTATGTATGTATGCTAGTATAATTGAAAAAGCCAGAACAAGGAAGAAAAAGAAGAAAAACTTGTTTAATATCAACTGCTAGCTCACCCTGAAGATGATATCGAGAGAGATCCCCGTAGAAGGTTCAAGGTATTTCCTCAGAAGTTACTACTTTCAATGGATAATACCTTTTGTCCAGTCTGCTGTTGAAAATCAGTAAGAGAAGACCATACAGAAAGAAATAATGATGACGGAAATGTACATGATTGTTACTGAATGGGAAAGATTAAGTTTTGACGGTGCTGACGATCAGGAGCAGTGAATTCTGCTTCAGGTTTTTATTTTAGCAATAATATCTAGTAGACAAATAATGGAATAATAAACAGTGGTAGTGAATGAACACTTGAACAGTGAATATTATGGTGTAAAAATAATGCAAACGAATTTATAAACGATATGTATATTCATTACTGTAAGTACCAATATGTTAAGTATTCGTAACTTTATCATTTTTGTGCAGTACAGCCCAACCCGAAAAACAGGCACAAGCACGAAATAGATAAACCTATTACAATGCTTAGTTTGAGTTGAAAATGAATATATTCATAAAATTCTACACACTCATAACATAATAAAAAATAATGTAGCAGCACGGTTATCACGCATCTTGAAAAGTGACATTATGCCGATTTCTTTGACAATATGCTGGTTTTTTTGACATTATGTAGGTTATTCTACAAGTTATTAACTTAGCGCTTAGTTGTACGTGTTGCCTAAACGTCACGAGGCTTATCAATCTTTGGCTTTGATGTGATGTAAAATCTGCTTCTGAGATGGCATTACTGGAGGTCTAAGCTGTAAGTTGTATTTGTTGATGATAATTACATTGGGTTCTCGTCTCAAATACACTTAATTCAGATATATATATATATATATATATATCCATTCTGGAAATTACATATACAAATTTGCTGAATTTAAAAAATGAGAGAGATAAGAAATAATTATATTCACTTACACTGTCGAATTACAAGCCATATACATGCTAACAGTAATTACACACAACGCGGGCGTGGTGATGATTTCCCGTAATTTTCCTCAGTTTTTCGTAATTTATAACTTTGAACATAACCTCTCTTCAGAAAGCACAACTTATAACTGACCCGTCATATTCGACATATTCAGTAATGATTTTCTCACACATCAAATATCACTGATTTTATACGCATGCAGACCAATACACATAATCATGCAAATGCGATCTTGCTATTCAACCAACTTTCTTCTCAGAGATAAAAACTACAGACCTGGATCACTCAACCTCACAAAACTATGCAACCAATAATGCATAGTTTAGTTGAGTGATTCTTCTATATATGGACGTTCACAACGATCCTAGTGAGTAAACGTGGAATGACTGTTTGCGCCCTAAAAACTACCTAGTCGGCAAGTTGACATCTTAGGGGTTTTTTTGACGTTTTATAGGTTTTTTACATGATACCCGTGCGGGAGACTTTGATAATCTGAGCTTTTGTTTTATTGATCAAATTGCTGTCAGCGATTTCTTTGCGAATTTTTGAGGCAAATTTTTGTCTTCTGGCTGTCATTATATGCAAGTTGTCAAATTTGTAGAACTCCATTTGATGGCATTGAATACCTTTTGCGCAGTCTGAACCCCCTCCAGAACTTTTCTCTGGACACGCCAGTGATAAAAGTGCTCAACGACTATCAGATGCGAAACTTTGTTTGCCCACCTAATTTTTCTTTAAAATTTCGTTGGAAATTGACTTTCATTTACCACGTAGGTAGATGAATACGTGTCTTGTTATTCATTTACGTCGGTCTGTCTGTTAATTGCTTTCGGGGATCGTTGGGTCCTTTTAGGTCCATGGGTCCATCCACAATCTTTCTTTCAACACGTAGAAGATTTCATAGTATTCGGAAGGTTAACTGGCATCCTTTATGTCTCAGATAATCCGAAGTTAGTTTCTCAAACAATATCTTTGATAGTATTAAAATCAAACGAAAATATGAATGTAATCGCGATTCGCGCAATACAATACAAATCTCAGTACTCGCGGTGCAGCAAAGCAAAGAAGAGTATGAGCTAGCTAATTAATCACGTGAGAGTGACGTGGTTACATTGTATGCGCTTAACCGTATCTCGCTTCTCTCCAGCTCGCCGCGCGATGAAGAACCCATTGCAGTTGGACTGTTGCTGATGTCGATGCCGACCCACCCCGATTCTCTCTTCTAGCACATAGGATGCATAGCACATTGTTCCTTTTTAGTAAAATGCAATTAATAGACTTGTCGTCCTTAGCTCAAAATTCGCAGTTGGACGTTTGCTAACCTAATCATGTTTTGGTAGAGACTAAGCAGAAGAGTAAGAAAAAAGAAAGACACAGAAGCAAGGCTATTTGTTTGGGGCTAAGAGGTACTTATCTCCACAGAGCCTCCCCACTCTGTACAAGCCTAGATAAGATCTAGAGTCGCGTAGTGCTCACATGTTTGGGGTGGTTCCGCCCGGACTAAATTATCTAGACTCCATGCTGTTCAGCGGAGAGCTGTCGGATGACTCTTTTCTAACGGAAGGTCTCGGCAATATTTCGCACCGACAGGTCGTCGGCAATCTAGCTCTCTTCTACAACTACGCTAACGCGATTTGCTCCTCAGAGGTCTCCTTCATGATGTCGCTGCGCGGTGTGTCTGCTAGACACAGCCGCCCGACTTCGGCCTCCCACTATAGCCGTGTCAATCTTCGTATGTCCACAACGGGCCGATACGACCACTTCTCTGTCCATAGGATATCGCGACTGTGGAACAACCTACCTGAAGAGACTTTTCCCAGTTCTACTAACCTCAGTCGGATTAACAACGTTTCTTTAAGCTCTTTTTTTCATTAGCGGTGCTTCTGCCTGCTGGGCTGCTTCAGAGTGCTAAACGTAAGCGAATTGAAGGGCTGTAAGCTGCCTGTCGACGCCAGTGCTATAACCTGCAAAGAATTTTACCTTGGTGAGAACCCGCCAATGCT